GTCTTTATAGGTAGAACAGCAAAAAGCCGGTCCTTCTAGTGTTAATGACTGCACAGCCTCTGTCCTTTGCATTAGGGTCCTGTGCACCCTGGATCCACTTCATAACCAGGATTCTCATTCTTTTAACCACCTGTTCAATATATACATCATCCTGCTTCTTACTCGGCTGTCAACCAAAGACATTGACACTAAATATTGAAGATGATTTTACTAATGAAAAATTACATTTGATAGATTAGATTAGATACAACTTTATTTGCAGTTGTTTATTCAAATGCAAAATAAAATAGTCCCTCAGAATCCTTTGTTAGAGCTTTCATAATCACAGACTCCTATCAGCCTACTTGTGGGATACATTTACATTAAACTGAACATTTCAGTTTGCAGTCAAGTTAAACATGAGCGTGCTTCTTTGTTATGCAGTAGCTCAACATTTTCCACTTAAAGAAAAGCCAGACAAGTAAGGTGGGACATCTGTGGGAACACCGGCATTGACATTTTTGTCCTCTTTCTGCCCTCCTGCTTCCGGGAGCTTTACAGTTGACACTAGTCATAATTACATGTGCAAAATTTCTTGATCCGATTAAAAATTTGAGGGATCGGAAAAGTCTGTATCCACTGTTTCTATGGGTGCAAAATCTGATGATCTGATTATGACATGCATATACATGCATCAAGTCTAAATTTGGATAGCAAGAAAGTAGTGTCAGACTCAGACCAATTGCTTTTGACCAATTGCTATATGGTTATATATGTATATATATATGTAATTTTATATATATATATATATATATATATATATATATATATATATACAATTTTCTCTGGGGGGGGGGGGGGGGGGCCCTACTGGCCGCAGGGCCCTAAGCAGGTGCTTAGTTTTCTTCTGCCTTGGGCCACCTCTGGTAAAAGGAGGTATTATTGTCACAACAGTTGTCAATGACCAGAGACAAGGCAGTCATTGAAGGCAGCAGCTAATTACTGTAATTAAATGAAGCAAGTACATTTTAAAAATGGAAAGTTCTCCTCTAGTACAATAATGTTATATATATCCACTGTCTGTGGTCACAGCTTTGAAGCTTTTTGGCAACAGAAAAAGCTTTAACAGCTTCCACCCAAGAGATTTAAGAGTCTTAATTCATGGTGTTGAGATAAGTTCTGATTTGGTGTATGATAGGAAACAAAATCAAAACAGGGTCATGACCTCGTCTTGCAATCTGAGGATTTTTTTCTCTTTTCCTCACCACCTTTCTACACAATATTGCGGTTGTGAAAAGAACATCTGATTTCCATTTCTGCGACGTCTCCATCAGTCAGCATTGTCCCAGTGCAGCTGAACTGACAGGACCACAGCGCTGGAACTCATTAGGAAAAGACAGAAATTGACATCTGTAGCTGAATTGATTTAACTCTCAACTGTCGTGACCTGAAAAAGCATGTGCGAGCAAGTGAGCAATTGTAAAAATGTGATAAGGAAGGTGCTGATGAATTGTGGGATAGTGAAAGTTCATTCCACAAGAGGAATGAGACTGTGACCTTTCTTGACCCCACCCCAGTCCCTCAGAACGAAGGAGCTCGATTGTTACTAGTAATACTTGTAATTTTTGAAATGATAGACGGCAGCATGACACCAAGACTCACAGTTTAAGAGATGTCTGGTGCTCACGTCAATCACACTGTGAAGTTTCTTCTTCAAACCCGGGACCAGAAATTCTTTAATGATGCTCACCGGCTTGATCATCTGTCAGCGTGAAGATAGATGTGTCTCTTATCCTTCTTTATTAAAGGATTTACTTTCCCTGACTTGACACATAATTTGGATCGAATAAATAAAGAATAAATGTGGAGGAGGCGGGACTGAAAAGCTCCATTTGATCTGTAAAATTACTGCATTACATCAAAAAGTCATGCAGTCCGAGTGAATTTTTGGGTAAATATTAGCAAAATTTAAAAAGCTCCAGTTTCATATTCCATTTTTCTTTATACTGAATTGTATTTATCCCTGAAAATATGTCAATTAAATGCTCGAGGTAATTCTGGGAGCCAATAAGGGATTGTGAGACACATTTTCAGTCAGTGATGAATTTATAAATACATGTTTATTTCTCAACCAATGATGTGTTATAGTGCCATAGCACTTGTGTTCACACAGAATTTGTTTTTTTTCCTACATGTTTGAATTCAAGCTCAGCAGCCAAATAATATCAGTGTCTGTTTTTTTGCAATAATATGTGTTAAATATTTGCTGGAAGACAATGTCTGAGCTGAGGGAGCTGTGTTGAAATGCTGCCATAATGTTCATAAAAAGAAATGTTGGATCCAGGTGATAAAAAAAGAAAATTAACTGGAAGACTAAACTCTGTCAGCAACACGGTGTTTACCACAAAAACCCTCTGGTTAACCCCGAGGCAGAGATTTACTTTTTACAACTCTTCATCAATCACATTCAGACAGATCCAGGTCAGCATGTAGGTCTGTTGGCCTAATGGGAGGAAAATTATTGTTCATTTCTTGAAAAATGATCCAATGACAAAGTGCCAGCACACTGTCTGCACAGCTGCTGATTGCAGTAATCTTAAAAAAAAAACAAAAAACAGAAGGTTAGTGTGGAACTGGGCCACATCTTTTCTTCCAGGTCCACAAATAGACCTGCTGATGTTTAGTCACAGGATGTCTGGTTCTAACACCACACATCTCCAACAGCCTTACGTGCTGACGACAGGTCTGTGTGCCAGCTGTCTTCATTTCTGGAACTGTGAGGAAGTGTATTGTTGCAGGAGTGATCAAATGTTGTTCAAACCTAAATCATGATGGTGTGCGGATATCTCATTGAGTATCAATGAGCATTTTACACCTTTTGATGCACCATCTGACTGAGAGCTTTGGCAGTAATTACAATGGATTAGCCTTTGTCTAGATGCTTAATCCCTACACTGTGCAACGTGCCCAAAATGACAATGACTCAAATGACTCAATATATGGAAATTCACCTGATGAGTGGGTTCACGAGAATAGGCGGGTGCATATATGAAAAAAAGAAACAAAAAAAATAAAAAACACCTTACCCTAAAAAATTCCAACAAAAGGTTTCTCAGCTGTTTTTTTTCCATAGTATTAGGTGTCCTCAATAACATACTGAAAGTTTTCCCAAGTTTGACCACTAGAAAGGTGTCATTTTCAAGATGGCGTTCATGATAGGTAGGAAGCCCAGGGAGACATCCCAGGTGAATAGGGTAAATTTTTTGACCAAAAGATATCACCATGAACCTTTCCAAGTTTTAACTTTTTCTATAACAAGTTTTGTCAAATGTTATGTATAAATTTGTAAATGAGGCAATATCTAATTAAATATGCACTAATTTGCATACATTTCCAGAACCCAAAACTGAACAATGGATAAAGCCCCTTACAGACTTACTCATTCTTCTCCTCTTCTATGCTGGGATGAACAATAGAGGGCTCTATTTTCCTTCAGACAAGTCCAAACCTACTAAAGTGTACAACATGGGAGGAAGAGTGTGATGACTGGTAAATCTAGTGAAGGTCACAGTTAAAAAGAAGTATAAAAAAGTATAAAAAAAATAAACCAGAATAAGATGACAGAACTAAAGAAAAAAGAAAAAGAAATGTATAAAGTTATGTTTTAAGATTTGTTTGCAGAACTGAGCTTTCACGTGGCAGCCCTGTTTTGACTAATTTTACAGTACCAAACAGTTCTAATTAATTAATTCTTTTTTGGAATCAAAAGAATGGTTTTTAACCACAGAAACCACCAACACAAGGCAAAACAAAATGAAAAAGGAGACATATGCAATTACTTAAGGGAAGTTGTACTTATTTTTTTTTTAAAATAAACGTGCTAGTAACCATTTGCTTTAATATATAATTGTACTTCAAATCACTTATATCATACAAATATGCTAATTAAAATGTTAGATGAACAAAACATGTATCAGGTACCAGTATTCCTGGTCTATTCCAGGGGGTAATGTCGGGGTAACGTTGGGGGTATTGGGGTTCAGGGGTTAGGCTTAGGGTTATGGGGTTAGGGTTACAATCACTGTCCAGGACCTTCTTAGGGGCATGTTTTAGATTATTTGGAGTCAGTTGGTTAAAAAAAAATTAGGAAAAATGTCAAAAAACTTTTAAGAGTAAAGGTTACATTGGGGTAACGTTGGGTAACGTAGGTGTATTGGGGCTACAGTTAGGGTTAGGGTTATGGGATTAGGGATAAAATCACTGTCCAGGACCTTTTTAGGAGTATGTTTCAGACCATTTGGAGTCTATTGGTTAAAAAAAAAAGGAAAAAATATCTTTTTTTTAATGTATGCAAATCAGTGCATATTTAATGTGCATATATGTGCACATATGTTTCACAAGCATTTAATGATAACACATAACTTAGGTTTCACTTTTCAAGAATGAGCTTGAGACTCTTGTACCCATGTGGTATAAATGTACAAGAGTCTTAAGCCCACTTGCAAGATATGATACACATACACAAAGGAAATAAAAAGCGTGGATGTAAGAGACAAAGAGACAAGTTAATTTGTGTCCAAATCTTTCATCTCACACCTATAATATCCCCAAAATACTCCTCTGAGAAAGCTATTCCATACAGTTATATACACTTGGTTAGGATGAATTATCCTGGGATTGAAAACAGTGTCTGGCAGCCTAACACCAGGGGCTCTATTTTGGTGCTTCGCCGGAGATCTGCCGCAAGCGCAGCGTCAATCAGATCCGCCGCGCTGACAAGGCGTTCCCAAGAACATTTTGGTATTTTGGTGGGCAGCGCAGCCCGGCGTAAGTATCCCCCCTCCCTAACTCAGCTCCTCCCAGCAGCATACGTCGTGGGGGGAAGGACAGTGGGTGTGAAGTGGGTTTAACACAGCCGAGTCCAATTTGCGCCAATCAAATAACCGCCTCTCCTCGCCTTTAAATCCGCCGTCGGCGAGGCGCATTGGCATTTTCGTGCAGCAGACTCACAGATGGCCGAGATGGAAACGAGTGCGAGACAGCCGAACTTCTCTCAGGAGGAAACTGATGCTCTGGTCCGGGAGGTCCAGTCTCGCAGTGGCCGGATATACGGTCACGCGAACAGACCTCCACGGGTCGATGATGCGAAAGCAGCCTGGGAAGAGGTAAGTGCTGCTGTCAATCAAGTTTGCCCGGACGTGCTGAGAACCGCTGCGCAATGCAAAAAGCGGTTCAATGATGTTAGACGACGGGCTAAACTTAAATTATCCCAACACCGTCGCCAGACTGCAACGACCGGAGGCGGCCCCTCAACGAGTGTGGTGCTGAGCCCTGCGGAGGACGTGGCGTCCTCCACACTCCCCAAAATTAGTATCGAGGGGTTTGGTGTCTCTGAGGTTGGACTCACGGGTAAGACAAACATTCTTTTCCACAAATAAAGACACTAACATGTATATTTAACCACGTGTTACTAAGGTGTGTTGTGTGCACAGGTGATCTGAAAAAATGCCATGCGTAATGGGATTGAAATCGGAACCACCTGTGCGTAAAGACGGATCAAACAAAGCCTGATTGTATTTTCTCCCCCTTTCCGCTAATGTTTGCATCTGAAATGAACTTTGCTCACACAATTTCTAACTTCTTTATTCTAAATGAAAGTATTAACATTTTTAAAAAAAGAATTTCTGTGATTTACTAAAATAAAATTTCTGGTCAGCCTCGGCAGAATTGCCGCCGTCGCGGCAGCAGCACACCACAAGGGAGGAGGAGGAGGAGGAGGAGGAGGAAGAACAGCAGCAGCAGGTGGTCGGGGGGGAGGAGAAGGAGGGAGAGGACGAAGACGACCGCGAGGAGGAGGACCAGGGGGAGCCGGAGCCGGTGCCGGAGACGCGGGAGGGGGCAGGACGTGGAGACGAGCCAGCAACACGGGGTCGGAGATGAAACCGCGTTCAGCGGGAGGACCAGCCCTTCCTGGACACCCAGCGGGCTGGTTTTCTGATGTTGGAGAGGGAGCTGGGGTCGATGGGGACGCGGCTTGGGTCGCTGGAGGCCCAGGTGAAGGCTCTCCAGGAGGTCCTCCAGGCCAGCCTGCTCCCCTTAGCCGCTGGCGTTGCGACACTGCAGCGGCTGGTCCAGGTAGCCGAAAGGCTGCTGCCACCAGCAGAATCATCCGCCCCCGCCTGTCCCAGGTGGCCGCTGAGGCCGCGCACAAGAGGGGGGCGGCCCCCTGGGTTGACTGACCGACTGCAGCGTCCAGACCCAAGAGGAGGAGGAGGAGGAGGAGGAGGAAGAAGAAGAAGAAGAAGAAGGGGGGTTGGGAGGGGAGAAACACAATAAAAACACTTGTTAATGCAATCATGTTTGACTATTTATTGGATGTTTTAATGTGGATAATTACAAAAAGTGTATAAATGAATGAAAGCAAATACTCACACTTAAGGGCAGAGCTGTGCTGCGAGGCGGTCCCTCCTCACCTGCGCGCTCTGCTGCTCTCCCTGCTGACATGGCACATGCAATTCGGCCTCTCTCTGTCTAAAGTCCAGTAATGTGTCCTCGGCGAGGTCGTAGTGGCATCCATGGCGTATAGCTATGTTGTGTAAAACACAACATGCCACAAAGAATGCACCGACACTCTGCGGGCTGTATGTTAATGAACCACCTGACCGGTCCAGACATCTGAAACGCATTTTGAGGATTCCAAAAGTACGTTCAATGACTGACCTAGCACTGCTGAAGACACTGTTAAAAACACGTTGCTGTCTTGTTGAAGGTGTAATGTATGGCGTCATCAACCACGTTTTCAGTGGATAGCCGTTATCACCTAGCAGCCACCCATCCAGAGGGGTGTCCCCCTGAAAGACTGTAGGGATGATAGAATTCGCCAGGATGAATGAATCATGTGCAGACCCGGGGTAATTAGCGTACACGTTTGTCACCAGGCAATTTGAGTCACAAATCACCTGGATATTAATGGAGTGGACTCCCTTACGATTCACATAAATGAGGGCTTGGGTCTCTGGTGCGCGCAACTGCACATGTGTGCAGTCAATTGCTCCAAGGACCCCAGGGAATCCGTATTTCAACAAGAACCCTCGCTTCGTTTCCAGCTGGCTTGCAGGTGATGATGGGAAAATGATGTGCTCATTTGCGTGTCGGACTAGACTGGTGGACACTGCATGTATGGCCAAACTGACAGCGGCCTGACTTATCCCTACCACCGAAGCCACGGTATGCTGGAAAGACCCGGTGGCGAAGAAAGTCAGAGCCGCTGTCACCCTCACAGCAACTGGGAGAGCGCATGGGCCACCGGGGTCCGCATCTGAGGCCACAATCCGTGTGATCGCGTGGACCACCTCACGAGGCAGGTGTAATTTGGTCCTGTGTCAAGGAAAATAGTAGATTGTTAAAAGGCAGTTGTATTGAACACGGTGTTGGAGGCGTTATCCATGTGGCCCACCTGCATTCCTGCTCTGTTAAGGTTAAATATGATGCCCTGTGATGAATCACCCTCTCTCTGTAATTTCTCCTCCTCCTCCTCCACCTCCTTGCAATTATGTACTCCATCTTTGTAGATAATGTTAAGCATGGAAATTATTAAATTTGTAGCTGTGAGATCACATGCTGCATGTAAATCTTGAGAACAACGGTCATAACTTACTTTGCTTCAGTGTGCGTTGATTCTTTTCTCAGTGTTCTGAGATGACATGCCAAATATATACTCTCTCTGTGATGACGAAGCTGTTTGTGGTTGGTAGAGAGACGTGAAGTAGTTAGTTTGCATCAGAGTTTCAGCTGTGTTAGTCGGTCAGGTGGAGTGGCAATTAGGCGTGCCAAACGCGCTCCTATAGATATACATCAAAATGTACTGTAGATCTAAATGTATGTGCTGCATATATTTAAATCCCATATGACAAAGATGAGTTGTGCGCACAGATCACACCATAAATTCCAAAAATGGCATTAAAATTGGAACCATCTGTGCGTAAATGACGCATCGCGCTCCGTGGCCTGGCTCTTTCTTTCATAGATGTTGGCATATAAAATAAATTTGGCTCACAAAACTGAATATTATAATATCCGTATGTCGGCTTAAAGTAGATCACGCATCTGAGCACTGAAACAAATCATCTGTTCAGTCGCAGCAGCAGCAAGACGGACAGAGGACACGGAGACGTGTCCAGGTCGAGCTGCGCGAGAAATAAGAGGAAGAGGAAGAAAGAAAAGGAGGGAGACGAATTACATATCTTGTTAACTTCATCATGTGTGTTTATTTACTAGATATTTAATTTAATTTGATGCGGTTTCAGCTGTGTTGATTCGGTCAGGTTGTGTGTCCAAACGCGTGCCAAACGCGCTCATCAGATCAGATATAGATCAGAATATATCTATATAGATCTAAATATATGTGCTGACTCAGATTAATAGTTGATGATGATTACTTATTGCACTGAAATGTGCCTGACACTGTGGAAACCTGCCGGTGAGGCATCAGTGACGTATGTCGATACGCCGCCGGTCTACCAAAATACTACAAGACCAGCTGCGTTCCGCCTTGCGCTGAAAGCTGACCAGGTTTGAATCGGCGAGCTTTCAGCGCACTTTACACGCCGTTGGCGAGCACGAAAATGTCACTGCGCCAGCTGATTCTGTCAACACCTCCCCCTGCCACACCACCACGCCCAGCTTGGCGGATCTCGGCTCGCCTCCTTGCGGCTCATGCCACGAAAATACCAAATTGGCCTTACGCTGGGCTCCGCCAGACGAAAATACAACTGCGCGGGGCTCGCCGCCCTCCGCCGCCTCACCGGCGCGAACGAAAATAGAGCCCCAGGTATCAACAGAGAAAAGTGATGACATAAAAATGTGCCCGTAAGACAGGGAAGAAAATGCAAATCAGCGGGTTATAAAGTTATAGAGAGAATTGCACAAGGATTTTTCACTTCTTCAAATGATTTCACACTGTGACAGGAGAAGTGGAGTACAAAAAGGAAGCAGAACAGACATTTTCTAATCTTAATTAACAAGGAAGCATCATGGCTTAAAGTCTTATTCATAATATATATATATTTTGGATTAAACAGCAACACCTAGAAAAAAAAAGACCTAGAATGACCCCGTGGATAAAGATTATACAGTTGTTGCAGGCAGCCATGATGACAGAAGAGTGGCTTTGAGAGCTGAACAGCCAGTTTCACAGCCTTTTATAGTGCTTTGTGAATTAAATACCATTAATTCCAGGCCTCAAGTTATGCATGTTTAATATAGGTCGCACCCCCCTCTCTGAGAGATCTTCAGTGTTTTCATTTTATTTTAGCTTTCTCCTGCCTTATTCGAGCCAGAGCCACTCTCTTCTTTAAGACAGCCGATGGGAGGAAGCTGGTAATCATGTTTTACTTCCTCAAGGAAAGAAATGAAAAAGCTTTAAATTCAAATGTTGCCTGTGTGGAAAACAAATGTAATACACGTTGCATCAGATGACCCACTGAATAGATATAAGACCAGCTTTAACCAACAAACAAATCCTCTGATTTATGCAGTGGCACGAAATGAAAGAAGCTAGACTGATTGGTTATTTCATTTTGACGCTTATCCAAGAAAATATCCCCAATCATGTACATTCAAACAATATGCAAGGCGAACTACCACTATGCGTAATCATCATTTCCCCAGACATGTTGTTTGTGAGTGCCTGTCTCCTGTTTCACCCGACTTACCCCTTGCCTTAATAACTGCATCCACCAAAAGGCTTTAGTACTGAATATATGCTGCAGTTATGATGGTGAAAGAAGATGAACATTTTCCCCTGTTCCTGTCTGTGCAGAAAGGACCAGCGGGTGAAGTTACCATTGAAAAGCTACCAATAATTTTCTTTATCAGCATTAAGTCTGTACAATACATTAAGTCTATTCAAATTATTTGTTTGGGGCAGTGTCAGATAAGATTAAATAATAACTGTATTGATCCTTGTAGGGAAATTCGATATTCGATATATATATATATATATGTGTGTGTGTGTGTGTGTGTGTGTGTGTGTATATATACACTCACCGGCCACTTTATTAGGTACACCATGCTAGTAACGGGTTGGACCCCCTTTTGCCTTCAGAACTGCCTCAATTCTTTGTGGCATAGATTCAACAAGGTGCTGGAAGCATTCCTCAGAGAGCTTGGTCCATATTGACATGATGGCATCACACAGTTGCCGCAGATTTGTCGGCTGCACATCCATGATGCGAATCTCCCGTTCCACCACATCCCAAAGATGCTCTATTGGATTGAGATCTGGTGACTGTGGAGGCCATTTGAGTACAGTGAACTCATTGTCATGTTCAAGAAACCAGTCTGAGATGATTCCAGCTTCATGACATGGCGCATTATCCTGCTGAAAGTAGCCATCAGAAATTGGGTACATTGTGGTCATAAAGGGATGGACATGGTCAGCAACAATACTCAGGTAGGCTGTGGCGTTGCAACGATGCTCAATTGGTACCAAGGGGCCCAAAGAGTGCCAAGAAAATATTCCCCACACCATGACACCACCACCACCAGCCTGAACCGTTGATACAAGGCAGGATGGATCCATGCTTTCATGTTGTTGACGCCAAATTCTGACCCTACCATCCGAATGTCGCAGCAGAAATCGAGACTCATCAGACCAGGCAACGTTTTTTCCAATCTTCTATTGTCCAATTTCGATGAGCTTGTGCAAATTGTAGCCTCAGTTTCCTGTTCTTAGCTGAAAGGAGTGGCACCCGGTGTGGTCTTCTGCTGCTGTAGCCCACCTGCCTCAAAGTTCGACGTACTGTGCGTTCAGAGATGCTCTTCTGCCTACCTTGGTTGTAACGGGTGGTTATTTGAGTCACTGTTGCCTTTCTATCAGCTCGAACCAGTCTGGCCATTCTCCTCTGACCTCTGGCATCAACAAGGCATTTCCGCCCACA